TGATAAAATCTAATATTTCATCAAATTCAATATGCTAGCCTGAAGTTCCTAGAAGTTTTAAGATTGGATTCTTTTCCTTTGTGAATATTTGTTTAAAATGTAATAAGATTCTGTTCCTGTTGCGCTGTGGAAGTATGTGTGCCGGCTGGGGAGTCAGGAAAGACAAAGATAGAGAGCAGCACTGTTTCATTCTGTAAACCTTTCTAAATACAAATCGAATTTGTAGGCTCATCACTTCTCTTGGTGGGAAGCAATATGCTAAAAATGAAACGAGATGCACAAGTGAGACTGAAGGAGGTTTCTCCGATCAAGCAAGATTGGCAGAAAAGATTCAGTTTAGCAACTCTCAGAATCTGGACAAAAGAAACAGCAAAATCATCCGAGTTCCCTTCTAACCTTAATAAGCTGCTTTCAGTCTCTGGGAATGTAAACCATCCTACTCTCCTTGTTATTTCTATCTATAAATGAAAAACTATTTTTTATCTTACTCATGGAAATGTGTCAACACTGCTCTGAATCTTGGGTGATATTTCCAACCAATTTATTTAGAATCAGATTGAATTTTCAAAGGAAAAAGTATTTTAAGGCATTTAACTTCTATACACATAAAAATACATTTCTCTGTATGGGCACCACACTGGAGCAAGTATCTGAAGCAAAACCGAGGTGAAGCTGGAGAGCAAAGGACAGGAACAAGAACAACAGAAGCGTCCACAGTTAGAAGACCAATGCATGGAGCAAACGCAATTCCTACCCATCTGCTAAAGTATTATGCAAATCACTTGATTTCTTATTCGTTCTTTTCCTTTGCCACCCTCTCAATTATTTTTTAAGTAATACTTCTGGATTGAAGTCAACCTAGTAGAGATTCTCACAGTTGGTGAAACACTGAGGCACTCGGCGAGACAGTTTATTAATATTGGCTAGAACTCCGAGTCAAAGCAGAATCTGACCAGCAGACCATGCATAATCTGAAACTCTGCGTATTGTTTTAGGTGTAATTTAGGCATGTGACTTTTGAAAACCTGAATATGACTGTCTTGATCAAATTAGAGAAATGTTAGCTTTCTCTAAGTGGCAAGTGATTCAGTCTTTAGCTTATGTTGTATTCCACGAATTAAGAAGTTGGAGTCAAGAGAGCTAGAAAGTGAGTTTCACCTGCCACTTCTCTTTTGTACTCTAGCTCTGCCCCAATCCTTTTCATTTCTTGTGTACACATGCTTCCTCAAGTTCTGCCAATTTTTTTTCCCTTTTAACACCAGCCAACTTCCTAGGAGGAAAGTTAATTGCTAGCATACTGGGTAACTGGCTTCTCTGAATAATCACCCAATTCCTCTGATGACATATAAACCCCAGATTTCTAAGCCCACACAATTCTACTGGTATAGACACAAACAATGTGATAATAAAATGTAAACGAAGATGGCAAATCTTAGATTATTATCATATTGTAAAGAACCCCTCAGACCTCAACATTTTTCCTTGCTAGAGAATCACTGGTGGTAGGTAATTCAAAGCTAAACAGTCAAGGAGACTGACGCCAGCTACATGTTCCAAAAAACGCGTTCCAGCGTCTCCTCCCTGTTATTATTGCCACTACAACTGTCACAATGTCTGGGTGCAAGACTGCCCCTTAATCACACGGCACTAAAGCCCAGTTCTCCACACACGCACATGAAGTGTCAGCTTGCACTAACTGATAAGACTAGCAGGCAGCCTCGCCAGGATGGGGCAGTACCTACAGACAAACAGGATCAAGATTACAAACTACAAACCACACTGTCTCCAATACTCTTCCAATGACTGAGTCCTATTGTCTCCTATCCAAAATATTTTAGGTATTAGCTATCCTCATAGTGAAGTGATCGCAGCACTTTAGAAATCACAAAACTGCCTCAAAAAGATATGATTCCTATTTATAAAACATTTATTATTAAGGGTCTACTATAACACAGCAGGCTGCAATAACAGGTCTAAACAGAGCAAAGATTGGGAGGATGGCACAGGCTGGGCAACATTTAGTTATGCAGTAACAGTTTCTGTGAGTTGGGAACAACTTCACATCTCACAACAACAACAACAACAACAACAACATATATCATTGTACTAGGTTGTAAGGACACAACAAGAGCAAATTATCCAGAAACTTGGATGCTGGCCTATATTATTCTCCTGATAGCTTTTTTATTTCCTTGCAAAAGATGAAATAAAAAAAATAATATGGCCTTGCAGGTAGAAGGTGGCCCACGGGAATAATGAGTTTGTAAATTATTACCTAACTTGGGAGCATTATGGTGAGTGAAGTAGCTTAGTCCCACAAGGACAAATACTGTATAAAACCATTACTGAAGAATGAGAATGAGGATCCAAAGGGTGGGGAGGATGGAAAGAGAGGAGTGAGGGTGTGTGGGGGAGGGGAGATTAATCATGGGGTTGTACAATTTGATGGGGGGGAGGTGAAGGAAATTGAAAAAATCTGTTCTGAGCTGCACTGCAATCCCACAGCTGCGTGGTTCAAATCCACCAGATGCTCTGCTGGAGAAGGAGAGAAAATCTTCTGTACCAGTCAGATCCAATTTGATGGTACACACACAAAAAAATAATAAAATAAAAAAAAGGAAGAAGGAATCTCTTCTGGTAAACAATTTATTTGAATTTTGTAAATAAACTAGTATAAAAAAAAAAGATGGTGCAGGACCTCCAGCATAAATGAAGAGAAAAAAAGCTGTGTAGGTGTAACATCCTTCAGATTCTATTCTAATCTAGAATGTATTTCTAAAATGTAAGGATTTAAAACAATTTAGAAAGAGCCAGAAAATTCTAGCAAGATAGCATAAATTAAAAAGAAACAGAAAATGAGAGCTCCAATTCTAAAATAAGGCCTGGACAGGACAAAAAAATTAGTTTTTGGTGGTTAAAAAAATTAGCTTTTAACTTTTTTAATAGACAAATCAAGTAAGAAAAGGCCTTGTCAGTAAAGCCATTCATTACTCTTCAGATAGAAAGGGCAATTGCTCGGAAATATGAAATGAAGAATTTTTACCAGGTTTTTTTTCCTTAAAGATATTACTATAGTGTAATTCACAATTATCAATTACTGTTTTTGGCCTACAGGGTAAGGAGTTTTGCTGCCAACTCAAAAGTTCTAATTCACTAGCTACTTTGCAGAAGAAACACAGGCAATCTCCTCTCATGTGATTTACAGCCTCTGAAACCCTGCTGGAGGGTCTTATTCCAACTCAATGGCACATCACAAGTTTCACAAGCAGTAACAGTAGGACCCTCAGTGCAGTCTTTTTCCATATAATCAGTTAACTGAAAGGACTATACTGAGAAATAGATAACATATTCTATGCAAATTAGGATGCCAAAAAATTTTAAATGCCTAATACAGAAAGGGAGCTCTGGTGGCCTAGTGCTAAGGAGCTGCACTGCTTACCCAAAATAACATGGTCTGAATCCACCAGCTGCTCTGCGGAAGAAAGATGGGCAATTAGCTTTCAGGCTATTTACTGCCTCTGAAAATCTGCTAGAGGGTCAGCTATGATTCCAACTCAACAGCACATAAAACAAGAACAGGTCAGCCCTCCACCTGCAGATAAGCAAGGAACCTTCTGTAAGGAAATATTTTAAAATTCCTTTTCCATATATCAGCAAATGGCTATTTGCAGTCTTGAAGTTCCACTTCATTCAGTATAGCCTCAAAGGTTTCTTCTGTAAAATCTTCTTAGTGAATTTTTTTTTCTGTCTTAGTGAGAACTTTAGACATACTCAGAAGTCAACGATCAGCCAATTGGAATTAGAATAGCAGACGATCCAGGTAGGTCTCTGGATAATGTGAAATAGCTATATGGGGAGATGTTGTTAGGTGCCATCAAGTAGAGCACAAGCACAATTCCAGGCAACCCTTTGAATAACAGACCTGAATCCTGTCCAGTTCTGTGCCATCCTCACCATCTCTGGCATACTTGAGCCCACTGCATCTCTCTTCATTTTGATTGACTTCTAAAGCAGGCTTTACCTCTAATACTATAGCTACCCATGCTCCTCTACTGTTCATACATAGTGTGTTCAGAGGACTGCTATTTCAGAAGTGGATGGTCAATCCCGCTTTCTAGCCTGTCTTAACTGGGGAGCTCAGCTTGAAACCTGTCCACCATGCAAATCCTTCTGGCATTTCACACACAGGTAGCATAGCTGCCATCATCACAGCAACCTACAAGTCACCCAAGAACAGCAATCTGATGGGTAAGTGCTTCACTAATAAGAGCAAATGAGGGAGATGAGCTACAATTAATTGCATTAACATGCTCAAGAATAGTGCTTCTGTTCTATCACCTAGCCCACGACATAGTGCCATGGGTCTGAAAAGCTTGTGACAGCTATCCAAGGCATAAATGGGCCTCTATATGCCTAGAGTAACAGAGGAAGGAAAGTCACAAATAGGAGGAAGAAACAGAATGTGTGGCTAATTGCCTCTATGAACAGCTGCCTCCAGGAGACTAAAGGAACTGTATGGTGTGCAGTGGCCATGAGTAAATGTCTTGATCAAAGATTCTGTAGAATCTCTCTAAGGATTCTACAGAATCTTTGATCAAAAAAGGAGAAAATACAGAACTTCAAATTCCTATAGAATCCAATTTTCTGGAACAACCAAGCAGTCTGGGTGAGCCCCTGAACTTAATGATTTGAGATAATCTTTACATCTTAAAGCAAAAATATCTCCTAAAGTCTTCTTAAAACAAAGCAACAATTTAGCTGTATTCTTGTAAGAATTATCTATCTGGAGCAAACTGACAACTTGAAAAATCAGATAGGAAGCTTAGCAGAGAGTTGAGTCTATGTTAAAGAGGGAAGGATAATTTGGAGAAACAATTTCAATTGTGATCAGTGTCATGGACTACTACATCGAGAAATGACTAAATTGGTTTGTTTTGCTTTGTATATTCTCAATAACAATAAAAAATAAGAAATACACTTATTTTTAGAAAAATAAACACAATACGTACCACCAATAGTCATAGATCTGGTCAAAGAAGGCTGCAATACACTTTCTTCATCATTAAACTGTTTCTTAAGATTTTCTACTGATTCCAAATGGAGCTGGAGAAATTCTGCTGTTGCTGCTGATGCTTCTTCTTTAACTGGATCTATCATTCTTTTCAGAAGTCCTAGGTCATCTTTTCGAACTTTCAAACAAAGCTTCTCTATTTCTCGTATATTGGAACGGAGTTGCTATTGGGGAAAAAAATACAAAATTATTGCTACTATCTCTTAGTATATTTTTTTTAATTTAGAGGTATAATTTGTGAAAAAGTTTATTACAATAGAAAGTATAGAGTAATACTTTGCTATTTCCATGGCTTTGACCACATTGTTTCTTAACACCTACACCCTGAATCTCTGATATTAAAGAAGACTACGATGAGGGTAGCAATGACTCTCTATAGTAAATCAAATATTAAAGAAAAATACAAGGAAAAAAATTCCCCACCTCACCAATCATTACTCTTAACCCAGTCCATTAATATATTTCTCATTGAGCTCATGCAAACATTTAACATTACATTGACTTCCTTTCTTTTTGAAAAAAATATTATGTACAGTAATATAAACATATCACTCTGCACTCCAATTTAACAATATTTTAAAAGTCAATAAATGGATCCTATTCAGAGTATACATACAGTATTATGAAGTCAACCACTCCAACAGTGACGACATTCATGCCCTTCTTAGCTTTTAATTGTTATAAATTAGGAAATAAATCTTTGCATATATGATAGAGACGATTTTGTTTTAGAATAATTCCCAGCATAGAGGCATCAGTTAAAGAATACATGTGGATTTTTTTTATTTCAATAGTTAGTATAAGTCTCCTTTGTCAAAATAAAGGCTGTAACATCTCACCCTACCCATTCACAGAGCCCATTTCCCTTCACTTTGCCAGTCCTGCCTGTTACCTCCGGGCTTCTTTACTCTGCCCTTCCCAATGAGTAGAGCTACTGGATTTTCACCAAATTCTTTCTTTTCCCTTCTTTAACAAAAACCACTTATTGGAATAAAAAAAAATGATTTTTCCTTTACTTTGTTGACATAATAAATTATGCAAAGGTTTCATTGTATTGAGACAGGCTTCTAACCCTGGAATTAAAAACTCCCATTGATAAATACAAAATTTCTTTTTAAATTTTTAATATTTTATTTATAATTTTGACATATATATCTGGCCTAGTGAGGCTTGAATCTGCCATCTGCTTCACAGGACAAGGATGGACAATTTCCTTCCAAACTATTAAGTGCCCCTGAAAACCTGCTGGAGGGTCAGCTACGGGTCAGTCCTGACTCAGTTATACAAAACAACAACCACTACATATGTGTGTATCTAAACCATTAAACTCATGCTACTAGATTTAAGATTGTGCTAGCATCAATACACAAACTGGGGACCTCCCTAGTTTTTCCAATAGTCTATATAATTTGAAAAACATAGAAGCAGGCTTTACTTGGAAATTAAATATAACTTGCAAAATTATTTGAGCCTGATATTTTTGGTTTCCTAAAATTCACAGATCTCTGTTTATATACGATTTTAAATTCTTTTCTCCTAAAGTGTTTTCATAAAAGGGAGTTCTGGTGGCTCAGTGATAAAGGGTTGCACTCCCAACCCAAAGGCTAGCAGTTCAACCACCAACTGCTCAAAAAGACAAGCAATCTCTTCCTGTGTGATTTAGAGCCTCTGAAAACCTGCTGGAAGGTCAACTATGAGTCCTTTCCAACTCAACCACACCCAACAGCAGAGTGGTAGGGTTTTTTTTGTTTGTTTGTTTGTTTTGTTTTATCTAGAGAATATGTTTTATTGATTCACAAAAAGCAGGTGACTAGTTGGTTAGATGATGATGATGATGATGATGATGATGATGAACTTGAAAGTTATTTCATAGAGTGAATGTCATATTACAAATTTTAAGATCTGGTGAGCTGAACTTGTCTAACAGTTTAAATTTGTACAGTTAAGGGCACTCACTTTATATTACTATGTAATGGGAAAAGAAAACATCTTGCATAGTGATATGAATGCGAATTCCTTCCATGATGAATAATTTATTAGTCTAGATTCATATCCTATATGATCATGTAGAAGTCAGTATACAATCCTTTAGCCATCTTAAAGTAGGTCTTTTTCCACCTCTCTCTCACTCATTCATAATAATAATTGAGTGCCTGTTACAAATAAGGCATGGGTGTAAGCAATCATAAAAAAATACGTACTCCTTGCCCTCAAGAGCTGAAAACCTAGTTGTTGTTGTTGTTATAACAACAGAGTGTTTTTGTAGATATTAAAAATCTCAAAAGAGTGTTGTGAACTCAGGACCACATTTCCTTTGGAAGTATTTGAATGTGTGTTGGCAGCTTCACAAAGCTAGGGATGAAAATTGGATGCCAGGGCTTGGTAAGTTTGAGGACCCAAGGGCACTGGGTTGAGATTTTAAAGCTCTGCACCTTAGGGATTGTTGTTGTTATATGCCGTCAAGTCACCTGTGACTCAAAGTGAACCTATGTACAACAGCCCTAAACCCTGCCCTATCCAGTGCCATTCTTACTGTCTCCAACAAACCTAACCCCATTACTCCAGTCACTGAGCCAATCCATCTCATCAAGGGTCTTCCTCTCCTGCGCTGTCCTTCTACCCTACCAAGCATGATGACCCTCTCCAAAGACTGATCCTGCTTTGCAACATGTCTTCAGAATCCATGCCTTGGAGGACCAGCCTGGCATCACCCTCTTCAGGACAGACTTGTTTGTTCTCCTAGCAGTCCATGGTATATTCAATACTCTTCTCCAGCACCACTACTCAAAGACATCAGTTCTCCTTCTATTATCTCTAATGGCATGGGACATTTTGAGTAAGAGAATCATATGATCTACTAAGCTGGAGACCAAAAGGTGAGGAAAAATGGGGTTACTTTCATAGTTTATAAAGTCATTTCTAGATCCATCATGAAATACAATGTGTTGAGTGACAGGATAATATCCATATACATACAAGGAAGTCCATTGAATACCACCATCATTCAAATATATGCACCAACAACCAGAGCCAAAGACGAGGAAATAGAAGATTTCTACCAACTTTTGCAGTCAGAGATTCATCGAATATGCAATCAAGATGCATTAATAGGCGAGCTCTGGTGGCCTAGTGGCACGAAGCTGCACTGCAATCTCAGAGTTACATGGTTCAAATCCACCAGATGCTCTGCTGAGAAGGAGGAACAATCTCCTCCTGTATCAGTCAGATCTGATTTGACGGTACACACAAAAAATAATGAAATAAAATAAAAAATTTAAAAAAAATATTAACTTTAAAAAAAGATGCATTAATAATAATGGGTTACTGGAATGGAAAAGTTGGGAATATAGAAGAAGGATCAATAGTTAGAAAATATGGACTTGGTGACAGAAATGAAGCTGGAGATACAATGATAGAATTTTGCATAATCAATGACTTACTCATTGAAAATACATTTTATAAGAAACATAAACACAGGCTATACACATGGAACAAAAATTTGACCTTGAGTCTATCCCACCTGAATTTCAAAAGCATCTAGGAACAGGTTTGAGGCTTTGGACATTAATGAGCAAAGACTGGATGAGCTGTGGGAGGATATCAAGAACATCATCCAGGAATAATGCAAAAGGTCATTACAAAGACAGAGGAAGAAGAAAAGACCAAAATGGATGTCAGAAGAAACTCTGAATATTGCACTAGAGCGCCAAAAAGCCAAAGCAAAGAGAAGATATCAAAATATTAAGGAATTGAACAGAAGATTCCAAAGGGCAGAGCGGGAAGACAAAATAAAATATTACAATGAAAGGAGCTGGAGTCAGAAAATCAAAAGGGCGAAACTCGCTCAGCATTCCTTAAGCTGAAGGAACTGAAGAACAAACTCAAACCTCAAGTTGCAATGCTTAACAATGTGTTGGGCAGAATATTAAATGATTCAGGAAGCATTAAAAGAAGATAGAAAGAGTATACAGAGTCATTGTACCAAAAGGAATTGGTGGACACAGAAGAATTTCATGAAACAACGTATGAGCAAGAGCCTGTGGTGATGAAGGAAGAAGTTGAAGCTGCTCTGAAAGAACTGGCAAAGAACAAGGCCCCAGGAATTGATGGCATACTGATTGACCCAAGGAATTAGAGGTATAAATTATCCTAAAATGAACCCACCCTTGCATGAACTGCAGCTTGGATTCCAGTCTTTTCAGTAGTCTATAAAAGTTTGGAAAAAATTCTGGAATTGTATGAAGACAAACCTGAAAAGTTAGTGTATGTAGACACTTAGAAAAAGCAGATGCAAATCATCATAGAGGAAGAGAAAATCACTCTTAAGAGTCAAAGGATTTCTGTAAATAATTTTTCAAGTATATTGTGCCAAGATTCAATGAAAGATAATCAAGTATATGAGGACATACACTATACAAAGAAATAGCAAAAACCAACATACAACAGAAAAGAGACACCTGATATGGTGTTGTCAAATATTGTCCATAAAACGATGAAAGAAAATGATCATGCCTTTCTGGAGCTCATCACAGTTATAAAACAATGCTAGGAAGAGCGGCACTTTGAGGAAATGAATTTCATAGAGAGTGCATCAATATGCCGTTGAACTGTGGTGTTGGAGCAGAGCAGTGAACATCCCACAGACTGCCAAAAGAACAACTTTATCTTGGAGAGGGTGCAGCCAGAGTGCTCTTTGGAGACAAGGATGATGAGGCTTCACTTCACATACTTCACGCATGTTGCTTGGAGGGGGGCTATTCCTTGGACAGTGACATGATACCTGGAAGGGAGGAAGGTCTGTGAAGGAGAGGAAGATCCTCAACCAGGTGGACTGCCATGGTGACTGCCACAATGGGTTCTAGTGTGTCAGGAAGTGTGATGATGACACAGAAAAGGACAGGGCTCAGATATTTGTTCATAGGGTCACTACTGAGTGTATTTGACTCAGTGCTACCTAGCAACAACATAGAGAAAGCAGTTGTTTGATGCCATAGCAGAAATTATAGTGTGATAGGAATAATTAGAAAGAATTTTTTTTTAAAAAAAGATGTAATTTCTAAAAAGCAAAATTCAGACAATATAAAAACAAGTTAGTCTCATAAGGAAGGAGACATCTTGAAAAAAAAATTCCATTTGTCAGGTGTGTGAAAGGAGAGGCAATACC